AGTATACACACCAGAATTTTTTTTCTTCTATCCACTGCCTAGTGTGTGTGGCCGCGCCGCCGATCCCGGAGGGCTTCCAGCACGACTGGGACAACGCGTCGAGGCTTCTGGGGGACCAGGTGAGCCACGCCCTCCGTGTCCTTGGCGTTTACTCTTTATATAGACACACGTACACACACATACTCAAACATACAAACAAACACACATACAGACACTCTCAAACAAGCGAACAAACAAACACACGCACTCAAACAAGCGAACAAACACACACACACATGTAAATGACTGTGCATAAGCGTCGCCATCCTCCCTCAGGTCGTGGTGTCCTGTCCCGCTGGCCTTCACTTCCCCAACATGACGACCTCCACGACACTCGGCTGCGAGCAAGACGGGTCGTGGACAGCCGTGGACCCCGCCTTCTTCCTTTGTCGAGAAGGTCGGTCTCTCTCTCTCTCTCTCTCTCTCTCTCTCTCTCTCTCTCTCTCTCTCTCTCTCTCTCTCTCTCTCTCTCTCCCCCCCCCCCCCCCCCCTTACACTCGAACTGATCTGAAATATTTGTTTACATGAGTAATTTGCACATTCTGATAAGAGGGAGATATGTATAGAGAAAGGAGAGAAAAAAATATTAGAAAAGAAAGAGAGAGAGGGAGAGAAAGAGAGAGAGAAAGTGAGAGAGGGAGAGAAAGAAGTTGAGGGAGAGAAAGTGAAAAAAGGAGATACGGAGAGAAAGTGAAAAAGGGAGATAGGGAGGGAAAGTGAAAAGGGGGGAGAGACGGAGAGTAGGAGAGAGAATGTGAGAAAGAGCGAGAGGAGAAAAAGATAGAGGAGAGAAAGAGAGAGAGGGAAGGAAATAGGGAGAGGGAAAAGTGGAGAAAGAGGAATAGAAATTTAGAGAGGGAGAGAAACGGCAGAGAGGAATTATTAGAGGCAGATTATGCTAAGATGTATCCAAATGTAGAATATCATTTAGTGCAGATTTAGAGTTTCCGAGACACACCCTTCAGAGGTTTCAGGCCGAAAGACGTGTCCGTTGCCTCACCCCGTCCCGCCACCCGCGCCCTGTGTTCACTCTCCTCATCACGCCACCGTCTCATCACGTCTAGTCAGAATAATGCAAACGTTCTCTCTAATATATATTTTATAGAAAAACTGGAGATACAAAAGGCAATAAATAACAGAAGAAAACTCCTAATTTTCCACCTTTTTTCTCTCTCCTCCTTTCTCACTCTCTCTTTCCCACCCCCTTCGTCTCTCTTGAAAGAAATAACGTAACATTTTTACTGTAGCTATTGATTTAATGTTTGGTTTAGATAAGGGGAGAGAGAGAGAGAGAATAAGAAAAAAGAATGAATATGTCTCATCCACCTTCCCTCCAATTCCCTCTCAGTCGTTCCATCATACCCCCGCCACCTCCATCAGGAACAGGACATCTGTTGCCTCACCTTCCCCTGGCCTCGCCTTTCCCTTCACGCCCTTCCCTCGTTGCCGCTGACTGGCTCCCTCGCTCCCTCCCGCAGCCGCCACCACCGGGCCTCCTGCGCCTCCCCCGGGGATGACGAGTTCGCACTCTGACGCGGAGTTCTACTTCGTGGGTTCCTCCGTCAACTTCACCTGCCCCGAAGACACCATGTCATCCGACGGCTTGACTTACACCACGATTACTTACAACAGTACAGGCTGGTTCCCGGTCGATCCCGATTTCCAGTGTCTCAACGGTAAGTGCAAGCGGCAGACGGTAAATAGGGTCTGCAGGGATCTACAGTAGTCGCTTAGGGTGATATAAAAGATATGTTCAAATCTAATGGGTGTGTTTATCAGTCTGGCAGACGTGGTTTAAGCATCGAAGTTAAACAGAAGTGTGTAGCTTAAACCTACTTGGGGAAATTTTTGTATAATTTCAGCATTGTCATTATTTTATGATATAAATATAAATATAAACACTCACGCATATATGTATGTGTGTGTGTGTGTGCATATTCATTCAAATATATGTGTGTGAATGTATATAAACACACATGTGGAATTCATGTCGAACAAATTGCTACAAGAACAACGAAGGGAAGAGCAAGAAGACACACGAATATTCCGTGAAGCAGTAAAGCGAAAAGTCTTTGGAATATTCGTGTTTTCTCGCTCTTCCCTCCGTTGCTCCTGTTGCCTGTACGCACATATATAGCATTTGATGCCCCATCCCGTGCTGTGATCCCGTCCGCGTCGCCCTGCAGTATGCCTTGGAGAGCCTCCCGCGGCGCCGCCCTTCGTCAGCTCCGACTTCGCCGGGTCGCGGGCGTGGGGCTCCGAGGTCACGTACACCTGCCAGTTCACGTTCCGGGGCCTGGGCGCCACCTTCGGGGTCGCCTGCGACGAGGGGGAGTGGTGGCCCTCCGCCCTCCCGGCCTGCGTGGGTAAGGCTTGTGGGGCGGGAGGGGGTGCGGGCGGGGGCGTGGCAACACACACACAGCAGAAACACACTGACTTACACAACCGCATGCACACATAG